GTGTGTTGGGGAGGGTTAGGTACAGAGCATGTGCAGGATTTTCTGGGGGGCTCTTCTGGACTCTCCTGTGCACCTGCTCCCAAACTGAGGAAGAGGGTCCCCAGCCAGATGGGATCAATAGGGGAGCCAGTCCCCTGGCATGGGGTGCAGGGCCCTGCCTCCACCAGCCTTGCCCATATCATTCCTTCTCTTCTGTCACCATGGTTCTTGGGGCCTCACAACCTTGCCCAGAAGCGGGTATTTAAGTAGCAGCAGTGGGTAGTACTGGTCTACCCATTGCCCTTCCCCTGTGTTCACAGGAAGGCTTCTAATTGATTAGCCTAACAAGAACCACGTTGGTTCAGCACCACAGACAGCACACAATTTCTGCTGGAACTGTTTTCAAGATAAACACAGAACGCGATGACTGCAGTCACAAAAATAAATGGAATGCAACTGCCCAGCCCAGCCTCCTATCCGTCCGTCTGTCCACTCCAACATCCTTCATTGAGCTGGCGCACCACACAGAAGGTAAGATTGAAATACCATCACCCAAACACAATCACTAAGCAGAAAAATTCCTGGAAGAAGGCAAGTTTAATTCTCCTTTGACACCTTCCTTTCCCATTCAATTGAGGTCTGCAGTGGTAATGCTGCGTCTCTTTATTATCCATAGGCCTCAGCCCAAAGACTGTTAAGCTTATCATAGGATAAGTGATTACAATTTTGTTATCTTCTAAAGTTAAAAAAAAAAAAAAAAAGGTGAGGTTGACTGGGTCAGAGCCGTGTGTGTGCACAGCAGCCCCACAATAGGGGTAACAGCGTAAGTTCTGAGCAATTTTTCCACAATTCAGAAATTCGTTTTATTTTTTCTTCTTGCCAAGGAATCAGTCTAACAAACACATCCCACTCTTGCTGAAAATTTCTTTTCCCAATTCTTCTAGGAATAACACACTTTGTCAGGAATCGACACTTCTTTTAATAAGATTTAGAAAGTGACAATTTAAAGAGCAACTAAGAGTCCAAAGTAAAATCAGAGGAAACACAGAGAAAGCACTGAGAATATGGGGACACACGTGTGTGTCACTGGAGGGAGGCTACTGTCATGGTGGTTTCCAGTCCCAAATGAATAGGAAGGGTCTAGGTATGGGTACCATCACACTCTTACCAGTGCAGGACCCCATTTCTTGACTGGGGTCGAGGTTACAACACTGAGCCCCTTTCACATTCTGACCAGCACTGTAGTCAAGGGGCTTCCCCCAGCTGGGAGACCCTCACACCCTGGGCTTTGCCCTCACTAGTGTGGCACCCTGCCCCTGTACCGGCAAGGACCCCGCGCGCTTGGCTCCTAGGGCCCCTTGGCTCTGCACCACTGCCTCCCCACTTTGTCACTGTGGGGTTCCACTGGCCTCAGCAGGAGCAGTGACTGCAGGACTAGCCCACCTGAGACCACCCACCCACCACACCTCCTCAGGTGAGTCCCAGTGAAACAGATGAGGCAGAGCTTCTTCAGTATCTGCCTGCAGCCCCGAGCAAACCACATCAGGAGCCAGCACAGTGTCAGAGGTGCAGCGTTATGGAAAGGTCTAGAGAGAACTGGGGTGTTCTTATTTCCTGAGGTCAGCAGAGCAGCTCTCCAAGCCAGAGACTGGGCAAGTTACTTCCACCCTTGAAATGACTTATCTGATGACTTCTGTTCCCTGATCCAGTAGCAAATGGAAGTGCTGAGTGGACAGGAATCCTCCATGCTAATTGGCAGCCAGGGGCTGGATGCTGACAAGAGGCAGCAGCGGAGCCATGGAGGGTGGCCACCCACCACGATGTGGGGTAGTACCACCATTCATTAGAGGGGCCTCATCGTAAGAAATGCCCAGTAGCTCTTCAGGAGTTCCCTCACCCCAAACCATGGGGAAGTGGATAGAGAACCCAGAGCTGGGCCGGGAGCAGATGGGAGAGAGTGCTTCTGTCCCACGCTGTGACCTTACTGAGAAGAGGAGGAGGACTGTGGCCCTAGCAGCCTCTCCTCAGTGACCTGTCTTTACACACAAGACAGCCTTCCTTCCCATTTCTCAGGCAGTTTGAGGCTCCTGTATTATTTTCAGTCCTGACAGATCACTTTAAACTAGCAAGAAGACATTTCTACACCACACCCACAGCCCAGTACCTTCCTCTAAGTGGCTCACGGCAGTGCCTACGACTGACTGCACTCAGCCCCACCAGACAGTGGGAGAACTCTGGAGAGAAGCCAAACCCACTACAGTCCAGTTCATTCCATAGGGTAGTTAGCGCTGGAATGGAAACAAGACAAACAGAGCCAGCTCAAGCGACACCACTTGAATGAGATCATGTCATGAAGACTGGGAGATGAGCTGCTTGTTACTCCCCAGCCCAGTATGTGACACACAGTACGGTGGGCAGCAGCCTGGTGCTGGCACCGTTCCGATGTGGACTCTGGCCACTGAGGGGCAGGCTCCAAACCTTGGTATATATCTACACATGAATGAATACTTCGGGACATTAAATTAGCCAGAGGTACAACTCTCCTTGCCAGTCTCCCAAACTTGAAAGCATGAGCTTGTTCAGGATAGGATTCAGGAATGACAGGTTAATAACGAGTGGTGTGGTATATTAACTCCCATGACCACAGATTGATTTGCTCATTGTGTATGTTGTTGAACTTCTCACAAGATTTTCCTTGTCAGACCAGGTGCCAATATGATGAGCCGCATCTGTGTCTCATTTAGGAGACATAAGCGCTGTTTCTCTGCTCCACCCCACGCTTAACCGTTCAGAACTAAGGGAGGGAAATTACAGCATCAGAAGGGATTAAAACAAGTGATTTGCTGCTTGAGATTTTCAAAAGGGTCTGAAACACCTATGACTCAGCAAATGAAGAATAACTCAAAAAAATAATTTGCCAGGACAATGTGTTCCATAAAAGTAAACACTAGCGAAACCCATCTCCTAAAGGGTGCCTCCAGATAATAAAGGCCTGATCCATCCTCCTTCCATCCGCGTGTCGGGCTGTTTTTGTATTCCAGCATGGCCAGCCGATTACTGCCTTCTGTTCCTTTTGCTTGGGCTCGATTAGAGAGGTAGGGTGTTAATGGTGGACTTGATGAAGATTGAAGACCCATTTTCTGCCCCTGGAGACTAGTCTGACTTGAACAAATTGAGGACAACAAAGCAGACCCCCTTCTGTCCTTGGGAGAAAACCTGCTCTGTGTCCACTCCTCTCTGGAGGTGGGGGTGGGGCAGGCAACACATGGAGAACAGTTTCCTGCTGTCTCCTGGGCCCAAGTCATTCTACACCTGCAGCCTCCCTTTACTGGGGCTGCCGATGTGGGGAGCGTGAGGTGGAGCCTGGGCTGGGGGCCTGCTGCAGGGCGTGGGGACCGTGGGGGTTGAGCTGCTGACCTGCCAGGCTGGTGTCTCCGGTCCCCTGGTCCTCGCCACTCTCTTCCTTCTGGCTGCTCTGCTGCTCTGGGCACTCAAAGTGCACACAGTGAAACACCTGCAAGAGGACATGTGGAAGTGAGCAATAGGACTCGGTACCTGAGCTGCTATAAGCTGGGACAGTATCCTGCCAGCTCCTGGTCAGTCAGTCAGTATCAAGGTAAATGATGGTTCCAGGGGTTCCTATGAAGTGTTCTGATGGGATCACCCCAGTTTTTGTTTGTTCTGTCCATTTCTTTATTCTTACACTGGGCAGTTGTGTTAAAAGTCAGTAGGAGCTGAGTGTGATGGTTGAGTACCTCTGAGCACACTGACAGCCCTGAGCTCATATACTTTACGTAAGGGAATTATCTCTCAATAAAACTATTATGGGGGAGCGCAGTGGCACTGTAGGATCAACACTGGACAGTGAATCACAAGGTTAGCTGTTTGAGCCCACCAGCCACTCCATAGGAGAAAGATGTACAGCCTCAGGAACCTTGACAGGGTTGCTATGAGTCAGAACCAACTCGACAGCACTTAACCACAAAAAAGCTATTATTTAAAAAAAAAGTCACCAGTGCATTCATTTCCCCAGGATAGAAGAATCTTCTGTGTGTGTGTGTGTGTGTGTGTGTGTGTAGATACAATTAACATACACCAATCCAACTACTTCTACACATCACAGTTACTAGTGATATTCTTCAAGGTGTTCCACCTTTCTCAATATCCTTTTCTGAATTGTTTCCCCATTATCAGTACAAATGCACTGGGTCCCACCCGCCATGCTTCCCATCTAACTGAATTGCTATTGTCAGTATGATCTCATATACACAATTCCTTAAAAAGAACACAATGCTCAAGACATGGGTTGTTGTTAGGTGCCACTGAGTCAATTCCAACTCAGCAACCCAATGCACCACCACGAAAGACTGCATGGTCCAGAGCCATTCTCTCAACCGCTATTGTACTTGAGTCCATGGCTGCTGCCATTGTGCCATCAATCTTGCTGGGGGTCTTCCTCTTCTGTTTACCAAGCATGATGTCCTTCTCCAGGAACTAAGCCCTCCTGATAACATGTCCAAAGTATAAGAGACAAAGTCTCACTATCCTGCTTCGAAGGAGCACTCCGGCTACACTCCTTCCAAGACAGTTTGCTTGCTCTTCTGGCAATCCATAATATTTTAAATATTTTTATCCAACATCATAATCTAAATGCATCAATTCTTCTATGGCCTTCCTTATTCACTGTCCAACTTTCACATGTATATGAGGCAATTGAAAATACCATGGCTTGGATCAGGTGCACCTTAGTCCTCCAACTGGTATCTTCATTCCTGAACACTTTAAAGAGCTCTTGTGCAGCTAGATTTGCCTAATGCAATACATCCTTTGGTTTCTTGACTACTGAATCCATGAGCCCCGACTGTGGATTCAAGTAAAGTGAAGGTTTTTGACATTTCATTCTCTTCTCCATTGATCAGGATGTTATTTATAGGTAGAGTTGTGAGGATTGTTTTTTTTCTTTACATTGCGGTGTAATCTATACTGAAACCTGCAGTCTTTGATCTTCATCAGTAAGTATTTGAAGTCCTCTTCACTTCCAACAAGCAAGGTTGTATCTTCTGCATATCACAGGTTGTTAATGAGTCTTCTCCAATCCTGATGCCATGTTCTTCTTCACATAACCCAGCTTCTCAGATTATTTGCTCAGCATACAGATTGAATAAGTATGACAGAATCCACCATTGGTGCGCACCTTTCCTGATTTTAAACCATTCAGTATTCCCTTGTTCTGTTCGAATGACAACCTCTTGGTCTGTACAGGTTCCTCATGAACACAATTAAGTGTTCTCAGATACCCACTCTTCACAAAGTTATCCATATAGCTTGTCATGATCCACACATTCAAAGTTAATAAAGCACAAGTAAACATCTTTCTGGTATTTTCTGCTTCCAGTCAAAAGCCATCTGATGTCAGCAATGATATTCTTAGTTCCACGTCCTCGTCTAAATCTGGGTTGGATTTCTGGCAGTTCTCTGTTGATGTACTGCTGCAGCCACTCTTTCATTCTTTCAGCAAAATTTTACTAGAATATGACATTAAATTATATTTATTGTTCAATAATTTCCACATTCCATTAGGTTACCACTCTTTGAAATGGGCACAGATATGGATCTCTTCTATTCAGTTGGGAGGATAGCTGTTTTCTGAATTTCTTGGCACAGCTCCAGGGCTGCATCAGTTTGTTGAAAGATTTCAAATTGTATGTTGTCACCTGCTGGAACCTTGTTTTTTACCAATGCCTTCAGTGCAGCTAGGGCTTCTTCCTTCCTTCCTTCAGTGCCATCAGTTCTTGATCATATGCTACTTCTTGAAACAGCTGAACACTGACCATTTCCTTTTGGTATATAGTGACTCTCTGTATCCTTTCCATCTTCTTTTGATGCTTTCTGCATTATTCAATATTTTGCCCATTTGTTGTTAAGTGCCACTGAGTCGGTTCTGACTCATAGTGACCCTGTATAGGGTTTCCGAGGAGTAGGGCTGGTGAACTTAAACCACCAACTTTGCTGTTCAAATCAACCTTGCAGTTCAGCGCATTAACCCAGAGTCCCACACCAGGGCTCCATAGAACCCTTCAATATTCCATTACAATTTGAAGTTTAATTCTTCTATCAAATCTTTGGTCAGATGGTTCAGTAGTGGTAGCTGGGCACCACTCACTTCTTGTCTTCTGGAAAGGAGGCAGTAGTTCATGGAGATCATTGGAGATAGTTTGTTTCAAGTAGTAGCTGTTGTTGTTGAGTGCTGGTGAGTCAATAGAAACCCTATACAGCAGGAGTCGGGAACCTTTTTTCATAAATTTTTGCCAAATTTATGACATAATTCGTGGGCCATACAAAATTATCACCTTAAAAATTTGCCTGCTATATTTGGTCACTTAATTAACTCACCCCTAAGGTGATGGCCAGAACAAATGGTTCATGGGCCAGATGGTCCCCACTCCTGCTCTATAGGGTTTCTGAAAGAGAATGGTGGGTTTGAACTGCTGACCTTGTGATTAGCATTCCAGTGCTTATCCTACAGCGCCATTCCTGGACTCCATATTCCGTAAAGGAGCATCCTCAATGTTCAATCAAAGATCCATATTTAGGAAACAAGATGGCGGATTGGGTGGAAGTGCAGTAAGGAGCTCTGTCATCAACAACACAGAATACAGGACCAAGCAGGCTCAGGGGATGGTCCCAGAACTCTGAATCACATACAAAGGAATATTTAGAGGGTTGGAAGGCTTACAGCTAGGGGAATTTGTGGCAGAAGCAGAAGATCCATTGCTTTCTAATTCAAGACGCACAGCTGCACCAGGAGCTGCCATCTTGGGTGAGACCAAGCAGAAGAAGGATCAGAGAGGCCACGGACGCCAGACAAAAAAGATAAAGGTGTGGACATTCTTTTCTTTTGGTATCTGTTCATTGGTCACTTGCTGTCTGTGCACCTCCATTCTGGTGACTA